TTAATTATAAGTTTTGACTAAACCTTATTATACTCGCTAGGCTGGAGGGAGTGATGCTACACTCCCTCATGAAACTGCAGCGCCACATATGCGCCACCTCAACCTTTACCACAAAAGTATGGTTTCATACCACACCCAATGAATGGTGTCACACTTGGGTTTTTTTTTTAATAAATAAAAATTTTCATTGGTTGTGTTCCAAAGTGTAAGAAAGCTATCCAATCACAATCACCCAAGGAGTGCTCCCGTCTGCTGTCGTAGTGCGGCCTTAGCCGCACCCAAACCGCAGTGGGGGGCAGTGTTCCGGCTTAGGTGGCACTGGAGATGCGGTTTCTACCGCGTCCACTCCCACCGATCTTATCCTACCAGCCGAGAGGCCGAGACCGTCCCATTTTATAAATTCTATGTTTATAACCTGTCAAACATTTATTAAATAATAATAATAATTTATTTTTATGGTGACAAATGAAAAAGCAAATAGTATTGGAAGAGATGGCGGCCCTTTCAACGGAAATGGGGGGCAGAAACGTTGTAAAAGACATTTAAAGGTTTTGCCTCCTAAATCATTTGAAAGTGAAGTAGTCGCTGGTGAGGGAGGGATCCAACCTTACTTTAGATTTTGTTTTAAATAAAGAATAAATAAAATTATATCAACCTTCAAGCCACAAGACTTTTGGTTCGTTTGTATCTTCAAATCTACTCCAACGTTTACTTCCTTTTTTGTGCTATTAATACAAGAGGCTTTTGATCAAATTAAGTTATAAAACGAGTTGATAATCAATAATCGTTTTGTTAAACTTTAAGAATAAATGTTGTATATGAATAAAAAACTTTAACTAGACATACTAACTTTATAGAAAATAATAACCGATTTTTTTTTTTTACACTGACACTTGTGTTTCAAACATAAACGTTTTGTGGCAGTGAGCAATATGATGCATTGACTGTGATTTCTTGTGGCACGTGGCAGTCAAGCATGTCCAAGTTACATTGGCCTGCAATTCAATTTTTAGTATATTAGTATTATAATAATGATTCAATTATTAAAATAAAATAATTTAAAAGATTATTATACATCTTAACAATATTGGTCTTGAATAATTTTAAGCCCTTCTAACACATTCGATCTACCTCACACGCTTCCGCTTAGATGAATATTTTATTAATTAATATAAACACAATTTAAATAGAGGAAAGGGAGAATGATTATACCCATATTTGGGTGGCAAGTAACCAATACTTATTTTCTTCCCATTACGAGAATTGGCGTTAGCTTTACCTCCTATACAAACTAGAAAGTACATCAAATATTTATGTATATCGACGGAGACGGACGTTTCATTTTTGTGTTTCACCAATCACCCTGGAATGAGACACAAACAGACACCATCTCTTCTGAATTTGAATGCATACCTACGCCTCATCAATTCTGATCACGAGTACTACCTCCTTCAATTCGTTTCACCTCCAAATTCTTTCTCTTTCTCTTTCTCTTTCTCTTTCTTCTTCTCCACTTTTACTTTTTAGATTTTAGACATATTGGATCGCTAAATCAACATCTATCATGTCATACCGAAGCGTCAACTAATTTCAAACCCTGATCGGAGTTCTTCCTGTTTTCTTCGTAAGTAAGCCATTGCTAATGCTTCTTTCTGTCAAAATTTATGATATAGTTTCTTACGTACTACTCCTTCCGGCCCCAGACAATTTGAAGTTAAATATAATATAATATAATATAATGCCGCAAGAAATTAGCCCGAATCCAATGTTATTGAACACACCTAGCAAGAACTCCAGAGGACTCAAAGGTCTCACAAATGGCGCCACGGAAGAGTTCATTGATGATCGTGAATTAGCGCAGAGAAAAGCCGAAGCAGCAGGTACGCTTTCTTTACTACTCCATACTCCAAATCGCAATTCTCAGAACTATGCACAGAAAGGCCCGACAAAATCCTTTTGCTTTGTTTATTCAATTTTATTTTTTCAATCGATGATTACAAGAAAGAAAGAAAAACATATTTTTTTTAAGATCGAATGATACATCAGCTAATATCCGTCCTTGTACTTCTTGTTGGTATAACAAATATCCTATAAAATTAGGACGGACATATATACATATACATATATAATATGCATTAGTATAAAAGACTACATAAATCCTAAATTAAATGTATATATTAAGGACAATAGAAATATTATTTGAGACTGTTAATACTAATAGCGTAAATATGTAAAATCATATTCTCTTTTTAGGAAGGGAAATTAAATGTACATTATATCTATCCCGTTAAAATTTTGTTGATTAAGAACTTATGTAACAACCGGCTTTATATAGTATTAAAATCAATAAAATGGGTTAAAACCAAAATGGCAGAAAATTCTCGAAAATGGGTTCTCTTCTCATTATGACCTCACGGTATCCAAAGCCCACATTCACAGAAGTGGGCCCATCACGGGCCCATCACGAAACACGCCTTGTATTAAAGTAACAAAGCACACTTGATTAGGTGAGGTGAAGTGATTGGCAGGACCAATTTTTCATAATGAAAATTAGTTTTTGGTTTGGTTTGCTTTAATAAAGTCACTAATTTTTATTTTTGTTCCAGCAAAACAGCCGTTACAACCGGTCCCGATTCTAAATATTAAACAAACACACAAGTGAATCATGACATTACATTACGCTAGTAAAATAAATATAACATTATCATTAGAAAGAAGATGTCTAATTTCTTTGAATCATAACTCACTGATATCAAGTTTTATATCATGATACTAGACTAAATGAACTCTAGTAGCCGAAAGTATTTGGTATATTACCACTAAAAACTAAGAATTTAACCCCCCCAATTATCATGTAAAATTATAATATGTACATTTACAATTTTAAAAAATGTCAAACTATTTTATATGTTTCCCAAAATGGACTATGGAGTTTTGTTTTGAGCAGAGGTGCATATTGGTGGTCTCGGATCGGTCTCGAAACGGTATAGTCTTTTATCAGATCGGTCTTTGATTTTTTTTCAGTCTAGTCTCTTATCTTTTCCGTGCCTCTTTTTCAATTCGGTTTCCGGTTTTTTTTTTGTTCAGTATTTTTTGTATTTTGATTTCGGTTTCGAGTTTACAAATAAGTGATTAACATAAAAAAAGATAAACAAAGATTATTAAAAACGATACACTTAAGTTTAATAAAAGAAAAAAAAGAAGTTAAATACTATGTGATTAGAAATTCTGTAATTAACACAAAAATGATACTTTTATAAACTTTGGTTATTGGTTATTTTTTAGACTGGTCTCGATTTGGTTTCAGATCATTCTTGTGTTGGATTTGGAACGACCCGGTCTTTTTGGGACCGGTCCCAAAAGGTCTTGGGCCGGTCGTTTTTTGTCCGGTCTTTTTAGAACCGATCTCGTTTTAAAGGGGTTCGGTCTCAGTCATGTTTTGGGTCTAGTCCGAGACCGATCTTTTTGTGAAGATCTAGTTTTGAGGTTTATAAAACCGCCCATACTTCTTAGGTGTGTTATGAACCAACTCTTTCAAATTTATGTTCAACGAGGCTTATACCAGTGTGTTGCACAAAATTAATATAACATGATAAGATAGACAATTTCTAGCTAAAAAAGTTTACATAGAAAATATGACTTATTCATGACTTTTAATTAATTACTTTTTGAATCAACAACACATAACAAACAATCATATATATAAATATATATATATATATATATATATATATATATATATATATATATTATTAATCATTATACACATCACCATATATAACATATGATTGATAACATTTATATGATCTAATATACATTAACGCTTCAACCACAACATACAACTAATATATTAAAAGAAAAGATAATTACATGAAAGCCTTAAGTTTGACAAAAATGTACAGATTTATCTTTTTGTGAATTTTAAGCTCACTAAAACCGGATTTTTGCAAAAAAAAAAATTTAATTTTATCATTTTTGTGGATTTACCTGGTAAAACCAGACATTTTTGCTAAACGTAAGGGCTTTTATGAAATAAAAACCAAACAAAAGGGCTTTATAAATTAGAAAAAAAAAGAGAAAATCGAACATTTCTGCAAAAATGAAGGGTTTTAATGAACCAAAAATACACAAAAAATTAAACTGGAAAGAAAAAAAAACGTTGCAAACATCCGATTTTAATGAACATAAAATCCGCCAAAATGGTACATTCATACATTTTTGTCACAATTAAAGGGCTTTTATGTAATTATCCCTTACAGAATACTAAAACC